ATATATATATATGATTTATTTTATTATAAAACACTATGTTCTTTTTTCACTTTAATTATGTGATAGTAAATCAACATTTTTGGGAGTTAATTCTTTTTAATTTTGTGTTGAATAAAATTGAGTAGAGAAATATAGTAAATCAACAATTGTGAGAGTTAATTCTTATTAATTTTTTGTTGAATAAAATTGAGTAGAGAAATTTCGTTCTTATATTAAAGTGTGAGTTAAATATTGTGTTTTAGTTAAAAATAAAAATGAAAATAATTAATTAAAAATAAAAGATGACACATGTCATCAATAGAGAGCGCCAAATGTCGTAACGTGGTGAAAAGTTAGAAAAAACCTTGTTATATTATATAAAATATATATAAAAGAATTTTCGTTATGTCGATAATATCAGAAAAAATGAATTTTTTTTTTTTTTTGTGCAACTTTTTAGAAAAATTGAATCCAAGACGTAACAAATATACGAAAGAAAATATATAACTTTTCATAAAAATATATAACTAGTCACAAATTTTTTTTTCTTAAGATAGATTGAAGCATAGATGTATCCACATGTTTTGACCAAAAAAAAAAAAAAAAGATGTATACACATATTTGGTCAAAAAAAAGAAAAGACAGATGTGTACATGTACACATGATTTGTATTGTGTGGATTAGTTGAAGAAATTGAGAAAAACTAAGACCAACAACAACTCCACTGCTTTGTTTCTTACGCATGATACTATCGCTTATGATTTTCAGATAACACTATATTGGTTTTGGAAATTAAAACGTAATACTTCTTTGTTAAGGATCTTGAACTTAGCTCAACTCCATAAGCACTACGATTATTCATTTCAATTTCTATCGACTCTTGATTATAGTTCCCTCCATTTTTATCACAAAAAAAAAATCTGAAACACAATACAACTTACCTTAATTTTTTAGAAGGTGTAGAAAAAGCTTTGGATATTGTGTAGAGATACAGAAAATATAGGGCTAAAAACTGAATATTCAGGAAATTTCAGGTATTGGTTTCAAAAATTGGCGCTCTATAATACAAAAATAAATACGTCCTCAAAGCAAAAGAGATTGTAAGATAAAACAAGCGATTGGATTGGTCGTTAACACTAAATATTTTTTGTTTATTTTCAGTTGATTAATAAGCAAAAATTACATAAGCAAAGTGGAGCCAAACTCCAACAAAAAAAAAAAAACTGGAAATTAAGAAAATGGAAACTGCTTCCCTGCAGCTAAGGAAGAGTAGTTCCTTATTGAATAATTACTCATAATAAACCAAAGTGAAGTTAGAAAGATTTGGCATTGGTTTCCTAACAGACCTTCTCACTTCCACTTCAACATCTGGTTCAGCCTTGATGGCTATGAACCCATCATGAGGTTCCATTATCGGGTGTCTGTACATCATCTGGTCCAGCCTTGATGCCAACGCTAACATTTTCATCTATGTCCTTTAGTTTCGCCGCCATTGCAATTTTATCAAAATCTCCATCATTCACTTCTAGTTGAACATCATCTTTGTTGACCTCTACCGAAGTAACCCCTAAACAACAAACATATATATACATTGAAGTAAATTCTAAAATGTTCTAATCCTAGTATATGTATTATTGATTTATTTGGTTTTCGTATAACCATATGGATTTGTGCTGGTGTACCTGGAAACTCCCATATAACTTCCATAGCATCCCGTATGAGGCGCACATTCAAAGCTTTAAAAGGAAACTACAAATATAGCAATTCATGAAATAAGTAATAACTTTAATATATGTTCATTTAGTAGAATATAATGAGGCATTAGAATTTAATTTCTTAAAAATAATTAATAGTCTGAAAATTATGGAAAAGTAAACCTTCAATTTTGGTGGGATAAGAAAACTGTGTTCGTGTTCCGGTACCGGAATGATTATGTCAACAGAATTATCAATCTCTTGTAGTTTGATCCTCATTTCAATCTTATCAAATATTCCCTTCACCTTTACTATACCTAACTCCTCGACGTCTACCATAATAACTCCTAATAATTAACAATAAATCAGAAAAATATTATGAATTGCTTCATCCCTACTAATTTAGAAAATAATTTATAAAACATGACATGTTTTCATTAAAAATTTAAAAAGAATAACCATTAGTCTTTAAAAAATATTTTAATACATTTCACAATGAGTAAAAACTTCATTCCAAAATTCCTTCCACCAAATTCTTTCTTATTAGTTTAATATCATAAACTTCAAATTAAAAACAACATCTCTTGATCTTATTGTAATTAAATATCATTGTCTATATAAATAAAGATAGTTAATTAATCGATCCTACCTACAATTTATGCATAAATTATTATAAAAAAATTAATAACATTTCTCTACGTTTGTACCTACCTAGTATTGTATAAATATTATTTCAAGGTTTAATAAGATTTAGTTGGTTTCGTTAATATTACAATCATAAACATATAGATTACTACTGTTCAGTGTACCTGAAAACATCCAGACAACTCTCATAGCTTCCCGTTTGATGTTTTGATCAGAAACATCCATCTTGAATTTAACTGTCTCCCCCTGCAAGAATTAGCATTTCATTGTATTATTGTTTACAAGCAATAACTCGATCTATCTGATATATGCATACGTACATATATATGTTAATTTGTATATGTTTCTCTAGATATACAGTAGATATATAACATATATAAAGCCTTTGAATTTTTATTGCTTAAAACATATTCTTAAGAATTAAAAGGAAAAAAAAACGAACCTGCATCTTTTAGAATGTTAAAAAAAATGGAGAGTGAAGAAGAGATAAACGCAGAGGTATATGATTTGCAACCTCGCAGCTTGTACGTCAATAACCCTTTGCCTCCTCGTATTTATATATGAATCATATTTTATCTATAAAATAGTGAATGATAAGGTTCAGCCACTAGTAGATCTATAGTCAATTTTGTACATCAAGACCAATACGAAAATAAATAAAAAACAAATAGATTGGTACAACCAAATACAAGTTGAGTAGTTTATTGACTTTAGATGATGAGAACTTAAAAGGATATACCGTTTTATTACAATATCTTTTTGTCGTTATCTCTCGATAATATTAGAAAAACTAAACTCAATAGTCAAATACGTAAAAGATATACGAATCACAATTTCTTAGAAGCTATGAAATGAAATATATATATTTGGTGCTAGTTGAAGAAATAGTTGAACCCATTCATACTAGTTGACTCCTAGCTAGTACACTTTGGGGGAGGAATACGTTGACGACTCAATGATTGGGTCAACTACTTACAACTTAATGGGCGTGTGTTATTACAAATCAATTTCTTAATCAATTTTAGTCTTAATTTATTTGATTTATTAATTTCACAAAATATTTATCTCAATAAATAAGTATAGTCTTACCGATAAAAAAAAAAGATATCTCAATAACACACAATTTAGATGATTCAAATCTTATGGTTAATAAGAACACAATATAATTGCAATATGTAAAAGTTAAACATCAGAAACGATAAAGGACAACACACACACACACACACTTTATTTTAGAAGATGAGACGAAATTCTAGTCCCAAAACATGGTATACTAGTTCCATTGAGCAAAGTTACATCATTGCGTTGTAGATTGAGATTACTTTCATGTTGAATATTTGTTCCGCGTGGTTCCATTCGATTTTGAGGTAGTCGTCACCTGACTGTTTGGTATTTTGGATTGAAAGGGATTCATAGTGGTTAAGCTCGTAGCTAGTGATGAGATTCCCCAAGAACTTTGTGTTTCTCCTTCTACATCATATGGGTTGAACACAAATATTATAAGGTTAGCATAAACAAAAAGAGCATAAAACTTAAATATGCCAATATGTGATAACCACAACAAATATTGAGACAAAACTTTGTTTTAGAAGATCTTGATATGGCATTCTAGTCCAGATACATACCGTAGTATAGTCTCAAACCATTAAAATAAATCTGATGAACTATAGAGAAAGTATGTTTATACAAACACCTAGCTAGGTTCTGTGTTTGTACCTTTTATTGTTGTACTCGAATTTGAGGTACCGGCAGTGGCAGACTGTGGTTTAGGTATTTCAAGGACGCATTTTTCCTTTTGAGGTCGCCGCGGCTCCCGGCCAATGTTCACTGCATGGTGCAAGGGCTTATTCGCGTTTGGATTGTACACAAAGTCACGTACACGATCAAGTATTGGCCGCTGATATGGTTTAATATGATCATGGTCAAAACTTCTTCCACGACCACGTGCATACATAGGCTCAGATGGAGGTGGAGGCGGAGGCGGTGGCACACGCAGAGATGCAAGGGAAGGCAAACGGATAGATGATAGAGCATTGCTGATCTTAGAAATTGTACTTTGTCCATGTGAGGTTCCAAAATTGGGTGCCGGTACATCTGGTCCAGCCTTGATGCTAACGCTAACATTTTCATCTATGCCCTTTAGTTTCGCCGCCATTGCAATTTTATTAAAGTCTCCTCCATTTACCTCTACTTGGTCATCTCCCTTGACCTCTACGGAAGTAACACCTAACAACAAACATACATTTAATGCCTTACTTCTTCTCTAGCTTAAACCGCTTAAAATTATGTAAACATAAATATATTACTATCATTGATTTATTTGGTTTGACATAACCATATATGGATTTGTGATAGTGTGTACCTGAAAACTCCCATATAACTTCCATAACATCCGGTATGATGTGGAAATTAAGAACTTTAAACTTGAATACAAGTATCTCCTGCAAAAATAGCATTCATATAAGTAGTAATCAATAAATCTATCAATATATAATCTATAATTCCTAGGGTAGATACTAGATAATAATGAGGCATTATAATTTTGATTTCTTAGAAATAATATGATTACCTGCATTGTTGGAGTGGTGAGATAACTGTAGGCTGTACTTAAACCGGGAATACGACTTTGCCCCGGTTTTCCCATTGGATTGATTATGTCAACAGAACTATCAATCTTTTGTAGTTTTCTCCCCATTTCCATCTTATCAAATCTTCCCTTCACCTTCACTTTACCTTTCTCATTGATGTCTGCGAAAGTAACTCCTAATAACAACAAATATTATTGCTTCAATATTTCAAGCTTAACTAAGATTAAACTACTTATTTGGTTTCATTAATACTATACAACCATAGATTTGTGTTGGTGTGTGTGTGTACCTGAATCCATCCAGACAACTCTCATAGCTTCCCTTTTGATGCTTTCATCAGAAACATCCATCTTGAATTCAACTGTCTCCCCCTGCAAGAATTAGCATTTCATTGTAGAAGCAAATATATTACTCTATCAGATATATACATACATACAAATATTTCTGTCTAGACAATATTAAACCTTTAATTGCTTAAAACTATACTTAAGAATTGAAAAAAAAACAAAAAAAAAAACCAACCTCCATTTTTTAGAATGTTAAAATGATTGGAGAGTGAAGAAGAGATAAACGCAAAGGAGTGCTATTTGCAACCTCGCAGCTTGTACGATGATAGTAACTCATGGCTTCCTCGTATATTTATACAATAATATTTTGTTAGTTTCAACTAGTGGGAACTACAAGGAAAATTACAAGTCAGTTTTGTTGATCAAGACCAATATTACAAACAATTTTAGTCTTTCTATATAATACATGGTAGAATAAAAACAAGTTAAGTTTAGTTTAGTCTTTCTAAATAATAATAGATGCTTTTAGAAGCTGGTCTGGTCTCTTACTTTAGTGTGGCTTCAACTAACACCGAGTTATACAATAATTTTGTTGTCGTTATCTCGATAATATAAAACTCAAGACCTAAAGTATATACGAAAGAACCATCACAATTTCATAGAAGCTAGGAAATGAAATATAATTGATAATTTTGTTTTAAATGAAGAAATATTAAAACATAGATATATATGTTTTGTATATTGTGGATTACTTGAAGAAATTTTCTTTTAGGAAGGTGGAATAGGATTTCTAAGAAAAATAAAACAGCATAAAGGTACATTAAAGAAGAGTAATTAGGATGTTCTATAAATCGATTCTGATAAAATGCACTCGTATATATTTTTGCGCAAATACTTGTGTTACTCAATGAATATATGTATATAGATCGTATGGACAAAAGGATTGAGAAAAACTAAAAAGTCCCAAAATCTTAGTTCAGTTTCTCCCGACCAAAGATTTGGGAGACAACACTTCACTGTCTTGTTTCTCACCCGTATGAAACTATGTATATCGCTTATTCTGTCTTTTCAGGTAACTTTGTATTCTTTTTGTAGAGAACGTAATGAGACTGAGCGTCTGTGAACAAAACGAAAATATCAAAGTTAATTGTTATTTAGGGTTTTTTTCGTTTGTTTTGTTCTCCTAACTTTTAAATTTAAATTTTAATATATACATGATCTTTCTTAGTATATTATTAAAAGTTTTATTAGCTTTACAATCAAAGCCAATATATTAGACTTCATTTCTCACTGAATTTAACTTTGGTTTTGACATGTAAAATAAGCTATCTTATAATATTTATTACAACAAATTCAATTATTTCAATCTCCGGTCACTCCAATGACAGATTTTATCGACAAAGGCACCGGGAAAATGGTCGAAAGCATCTTTTTGTCCTTGTCCAAATTGAAGTTTTAACAGGCACATAAATCCTACGCACAGGAGCAGGAGCAGGAGCAGGAGCAGGAGCAGGCGTAGGCGCAGGAGCAGGCTTAGGCACACTCGCATGAACAGGTATATGCGTAGGCGGCATATCGAAAGATAATCTATTGTTGATCTTTGTCCCACCAACTTGTACTTCTGGTCCAGCCTTGATGATAACGCTAACGAATTCATCTATGTCCTTTACTTTCGTCGACATTGCGATTTTATTAAATTCTCCTCCCTTCACCTCTAGTTGATCATCTCCCTTGACCTCTACCGAAGTGATTCCTAACAAAAACAACAAGAGCAATAAGTAATACTTGTTTTTAAAAGACTAAAAAGACCAAAATTATGTAAAAAGATTGGTTTAGTAATAACCATAGCTTTTTGTGGTTGTGTACCTGAAAACTCCCAGATAACTTTCATAGCATCACGTTTCTTGATATCATCAAGAACCTTAAACTTGAATAAAAGTATCTCCTGAAAAATATGAATTCGTCATGTAAATAATAGTCTTAATATATCTATCTATACGGAATCATATAGTAGATGATATTGAACCTTAAAACTTTTTAACTTCAAATTTATGAAAAATGAACCTGAATTTTTGGAGTAGTAAGATAACTGTAGACTGTACTTAAACCCGGAATGCGACTTTGCCCCGGTTTACCCATTTGATTGATTATGTCAACAGATTTATCAATCTCTTGTAGTTTGCTCCCCATTTCAATCTTATCAAATATCCCCTTCACCTTTAGTATACCTTTTTCCTTGATGTCTACGAAAGTAACTCCTAGCAACAAAACAAATATATTTTAAAGGTTAAATGGATTGGATTACGATTTATTTGGTTTCATTGATACTACAACACCATAGATGATTTTGTGTTCGGTGTGTACCTGAAAACATCCAGACAACTCTCATAGCTTCCTGTTTGATGCTTTCATCAGAAACATCCATCTTGAACTCAACTGTCTCCTGTAAATTTAGCAGTTCGTTTGTATATGTAAGCAATAACTATATTAGAATTCCTACCGTAGTTAATAAATTAAACCATTCAAATTTGATTGTTCAAAACTAATCTGAAAGTTTGGAAAAGACGAAAAAAAAAAAAAACAACGAACCATAATTTTTGGGATGTTAAAAGGATTGGAGAGTGAAAGGAATATGATTGTAAAACCTCGCAGCTTGCACAGTAGTAACCTTTGCTTCCCCTGTTTATTTATATATACAATGTTTTTATTGTAACTAGTGAATATAGTAATGATTAGTTAGGTCCAACCATAGGAACTATGAAACAAAATATAGTCAAGTTATTACATCAAGACCAATATATATACAAACAGTTTTGAGTCTTTCTATATAATAAGATGATGGAATAAAAACAAGTTGAATCTAGTTAAGTCTTTCTAAATGAATGTTATTATAAAAAAGGTGATCTAGTGGCTTCAACTAATACCGTGTTATATAGCTTCTTTATTTTTTTTTCGTTAACTCTATAATATAAGAATCTTTTTCTTAGCTTCCAAGTTCCAAAATTTCAATTTCTTCGAAGCTAGGAAGAAAAGGAGAGAGAAAAATTAAGTGAAATTTAACTAGTTTGACACAAATTTGGCCAAAAATAACTGAATTAACCCTCTGTTTTTGGTCATTACTAGAATGACACAATATTTATGTAAAAAGTCCAAAAAACCTAAATCTAAAAAATAGCAATTAATAGAAAAGTCTGTCACACATATATTAAGTCTGTCATAATAAAATGAACAAATTTATAATATTTTTCTATATTATAATTTTTTTTTCAAAAATTAAAATTACGTAAAACATTCAAAAATACATAATATAGAAATAATCAAAACATAAAGTTTATTTTTATATTATTTTTTTCTATTAAATTTATGAACGAAAAAATTAATGCCTAATTCCTTTGTTTATTAAGTGAATCTTTAATACATTTAGAAGATTTTAAATATTCATTCTTGGAGCTCATCAATCCCATATTGGTCTTCACACATATAATGTTCGGTCCACCAGCAAACAATTATGGTCTTCGGACATGGACTCTTTCGTTTACTAACACTAAAAAAAAAAGGAGAGAAATTTTTCGAATATATTAAACTTATGCAAGAGGATTAATCAATTTTTATTGCATATGGCAGAAATAAAGAAAATCTATTAAAAAGAAGCACTTGTGATATACTAATACGAAGACTCAATGATGAGTTCAATTTGTTAGATGATTGACGATATACTATAAACTAATTCGATGTGGTTATCTTGGAACGAAGTTGAATGATAAAAACAATATGTTTATCAAAGATTGACTAACTTTTTCAACACTTTGGATATCTTCGAAACATGCCTTTTTGAAAAGGGGTTCTTACACTTGCAAAACATCCAGATACTTTTCTTAACCTAATAAAACTTATACTTACAATTTTTTTCAACATGTAACAATATTTGCAACGAATATCAATTAGTATTCATAAAAATAACAATCACAATTCCATCCTAAATTTCTTAATTAACTAGTACTAATACGTTGAAGATTTAATGACACATGTGGAACGGAAATGTAATTTTAATTAGTAGAAACGTTTAGCACTTGGGGTTGGCCATGATTTGAGAATCTAAATTGCTTATGATCAGAAGTGATCAATGAGACTCTATCACTTAACTAACTTATAATTTGTTTTTGTTGTTGTCAATATTCGATGGCCAAAACTTATGGTTATTGTAGAATACCAATATGAATGATTACAAAATGATGTTATTACAACATGATTATTACAAAATGATGGACAAACCATTTTGTTTCAGAAAATGAGACGAAATATCAGTAGAATACAGTAGTAGTCCATCATGGTCATCAAACCCGATCACAACTTCAAATCAATTTACTTAAAGAAACCCAAATTCCAACCGCGGTAAGATGGTGCTTTCTTCAGTTTCGGTTCAGGCTTTTTAACCACTTTCGGTTCAGGCTTTTTAACCACTTTCTGAATTTTAACCGGTTCTCCATCCGGAACCGCGATATGTCAACATATTCGTATACCTTCCTCAGTTTCTTCGTCATTTCAAACTTATCAAACTCTCCGGTCACCTTTAGTTTACCTTTTTCCTTCACGTCTATCAAAGTAACGCCTAAAAACAACAAACACTATTGCTTAGCTAGCCTTAAAATAGATTATAAAAATCACTTATATTTGTATATAAACCAGATTTGATCTTGCCATCATAGCTTAATATCTATAAACACATTGATTTGTACATATTGATATACCTGGGAAGTCACATACAACTTTCATAGCTCTCCGTCTGATTCTTTCCTCAAAAACTTCCAACTTGAATACAACTTTCTCCTGCAAAGATTTTAAAATTTCAAGCTCCTTGTATATATGGATATTTTCTTAAAAACTATTTTGGAAATTTCAAGAACAAATAGAGAAAAGGCGTACCGGCATTTTCGGATAACTTATTAGACGACTTTGATGATTGAAGAGAGATTATGTATATGAATATGAAATCAATTCCTCTTAGCTTGATCAGAAACTTTTGCTTCTCTGTGTATATATATATACACGTATGATATGTTTTGTCTTGAGCTCGGGAATATTGAAACGAGTAAGTCAAGGAATCGAAGGTAGAAACTTATAATAGTTAATTTGGTACGCTTAACTCAAGATCAATAAAATAATTTTGAGTCTCTTTTATATAATAGAGTGTTAGAATGGGTGGCTGCTTGAACCAGTTTCATATATTTTAGTATTGCATAGTTGCATGCGTTAGCCTATATATCATGAATTAAAACCGAACTATTGGAAGTTTTCATTTACATAACAGATAAGGTAGAAGTTTTCAATGCCATAATCATTATCATAAACAATACTGTATGAAGAACGTAGCACACTAGCACTACCACCATGCACCAACAATCTTGTGAAGATGTTTTTGTGACTCATTTTTTGTTTGTTTGTTGAGGTTAAGTAAGATGTTATATATGCAATAGAAACCAATCTTAAACCATCATCACTTGAAAAAACAACACACTAAAAGCCAACTTGGACATACAATTTGATGTTTCATAATGGGCTATAATGCCCATTTGCCCATTAGTTTAAAGGCTCGACAATTACATAAAATTTGGGTAATTTATTAGACAAACCAAGGTTGTATTAGGCTATTTAGTAGCAATCAATTTATAGTTCTTCTTTTGGTTGAATTCTACTCTTTTTTTTTAAGATCCTTTTTTGGTATAAACGGATACAAAACATAAATGGAAAAAAACTTTATAATAAAGTTTCAAATACGTGGCACGTTATATTAGGTCACAAGGCTAATTTGCCGACCTTCACAAGAGTTCCATCGAGAAAACACAAATGCGCATATACACACATAAAACTATAGCTTATAATATATAATATATAGTCTATATATATATATATATCTCTTAAATAAATCTCTGCTGCAGTCTTCTTCTCTCATAAGCCACATTTTTCATCTCATCTCTCTACGCTACGGCACAGCGTTAAAACCAAACAGAGCAACAACAACAAAAAAAAAAAAAAAGAGCAAATCCCCAAAAAATTCTCCTGAGATTTTTGTATTTCATGGTCTCTAGAAATCCGAATCCTTCTGACGGATATTTCTTGGATCCGACAGGTATGACTGTTCCGGGTCTTGGACCTTCTTTTACGGCAGCCGTTTCTTCTTCTTCTTCGCCAACGACTTCTTCTACCGCCGTGGCTGTGGCTGATGCGACGGCGACTGTTTCTTCTTCTTCTGAGGATTTGAGTAAGAAGATTAGGAAGCCTTATACTATTACTAAGTCTAGAGAGAGCTGGACTGAGCCTGAGCATGATAAATTCCTCGAAGCTCTTCAATTGTGAGTTTTTTTTTTTCTAAAATCATTTTTTGAGTTTGCCATTTCTCTATTAATGGCTTAAATCTCCTAACCATTTTGGAGGTTTGATTCGATTAGCTTCAATTTTGGTTAATTAGGGTTTGTGGTGGACTTTTTTGAATCCTCTGAACATTCGTTGAGTTTCAAATTGGGATTATGGTAAATTTTTCATGTGAGTTTTTTCTGAATGTACTGTGCTGAGTAGTGGAATTAGATTTTTCTTGGGACTTGGAATTGGAACTAAGAGTTGGATTAAGGCAGATGGATTTGTCTATGTATTCACATTTTATTGGATGATTAAGAATTTGTTAAGCATTGAGCTGAAATGTCCTAAACTGTGTATGATCGTTGATAGTGATCTACGAAACAGGCGAGAATTTCTTGTAACAATAGTATGTAATGCTTAATTGCTCACTCCCCTGTGAATTGTAATGCGTATAGTCTTAGAGGAGGATTAGACGCATCATATATTAAGGTTGTTTGGTGGTTGATTTAATAACTCTTGTGCTTGTGTTTTATCATTGTAGGTTTGATAGAGACTGGAAGAAGATTGAAGCCTTTATTGGTTCAAAGACAGTGATTCAGGTAACAAAGAAGAAATATCCTCGGATTTACTTTGCTTTTCGCCTACTCTAGTTGTTTGATTCGGTCATCTTTCTTTTGGGCCCTCAGTGTTACTTTGGATTGAGGTTGTTTCTTCTCATTTGAGATCTCCACAAAGTGTTCTTTTGAAACAACTTTATTGTCTCTGAACTGTTAGGAGTAATAGCATCACATGCTTTTGTCGTTGGTCACCATGAGATTTAATGAAATGTTATCCATTAGGTATTTTCGCATTAGAAACCTGAGCTTGCTGAGCTCTATTATGGCTACTTATATGAATTCCTTTAATACCGCAGATACGAAGTCATGCTCAGAAGTATTTTCTTAAGGTACAAAAGAGTGGGACGGGTGAACATCTCCCTCCTCCTCGACCTAAAAGGAAAGCTGCTCATCCATATCCTCAGAAAGCCCACAAGAATGGTACTTAATAACTACTGTAAAGAAACTTTGAAGTTGTAATTTTGTTTACTTGTTGAAAAACTATATTGATGCATTTTTTTTATGGCAATGTGCAGTGCAACTTCAAGTACCAGGGTCATTCAAGTCAACATCTGAACCAAATGACCCAAGTTTTATGTTTAGACCCGAGTCTTCTTCAATGCTGATGACTTCTCCAACCACTGCTGCTGCGGCTCCATGGACAAATAATGCGCAAACAATTAGCTTCACGCCCCTCGCAAAAGGTTCTTTTCTCCCTTACAAGCATTATGCAATTACTATCATTCTAATATAATCTCTTTTTGAAGTTTTACTAAATGACACATATTGTTCTCCTATATTCTGATGGAAGCAGCAGGAACAGGAGCGAATAACAACTCTTCTAGTAGTTCTGAAAATACTCCAAGACCACGATCCAACAGGGACACAAGTGACCAGGGAAATGCTGGCCATTCATTAAGAGGTAATTGTCACCTGTTTTTGTCTTTTTGTTTGAACCACATTTGCCATTTTTACTAAACAGTTCCTTCTTCTTTGTTTCAGTTTTACCGGACTTTGCCCAAGTATACAGCTTTATTGGTAGTGTTTTTGACCCATATGCAAGTAACCATCTGCAAAAACTGAAGAAGATGGACCCCATAGATGTGGAGACAGTACGATTCTTGTCTTTTCAGTTTTACGTTAATATTAATTGAAACCATGTCGGTCCAATGGAACAAATGGTTAAACTAATCATTTGTTTTTCTTTTGCTTGCTCCCACCAAGCAGGTGCTACTGTTGATGAGAAATCTATCCATCAACTTGTCTAGCCCTGATTTTGAGGATCATGTAAGTATCTTTCTTTCACAAACTCCAAAGGCACTTATTGTAACTCTAGATCCTCCTAATCCAGAACTTAACCTCAAAACTTTTGTTGATTTGGAAACAACAGAGACGGCTTCTTTCGTCTTATGATATCAGCTCTGAGAGAGCAACTGGTGGAGTGAATAAAACCTTAAACAAAGACCCACCTGAAATCTCTACTTGAAGTTTAAACATAGAAAAAGGAGAATTATCAAGTGTCCAAGGGTGAGCCAAAAACCAGATGGCTATAATGGAATACAGATTCTGTTGTGAGTCTTTTGTTTGTAGTTTTGTTGTACATATGAAGAAGATGAAGCTGAGATCGTCGAGCGGGTTTAGTTTCTTTTTTTTGTTCTTGTTATAAATATATACGTGTTTTGAATTAAAGGATGGTGTATGTACAGTTGTATTATCATAAGTTATATACCAACCACTATGTCTTCTCTCAATTTTATTTGCGCTTTTGTTTACTCAAAAGCATGTTTCAGTCTCTTTTGCATGTGACCATTTGCCAAACAATATGGATGAACACAAATTTTGCCAATGTACACTTAATTTTTCTCTTCATTCTGTCTTCTGAGATATTTCCAAAATTTAGACATACATCGACCAAGAAAACGAATACTAATAAGAAAATATGTATCCAATCTAAGGAACATCTTTTTGAACAAAAGGATTATAAGAATGTTAATATAGTTTATATATATATATATATATATTTTACTTGCACTCAAGTCCAAACTTTTCGACAAAATACCTAAACATAAATAGACACCATTTTATCATTACTTTTTTTATCTTACAGAAAAGAATTTCATTATTTTATTATTTTATTATTAACACCATTATTTATTTTATTTTATTTTATTCTACCCCGTTATATTGTAGAACCCATTCTGGAAGAAAATAATTACTTTCGGGTCCCGGATTATCAATTATTTCGACAGATTTAAGGATCTTCTTCAATTTGTTCAGTAGTGTTTCTTCATCAATATTGTCTCCCTTCACAGCAAACATGTTTCGCGCACGAAGATTACTTGACCTATCGACGCCTAACAATAAAAAGATGACAACCATTCAAAATTTGTAAGATTAAATAATTTATTTACAATCAATTTATGTTTTATCCACAACAATTTTGTTTAATTTCTTAGCAAAAAAAAATTTGGTTTAATTTAGTACAATATAATCGTTGGGTGAGTGTGTACGTATAGTAGGTGTACCTGGAAAACAAGAGACACATACGTATGCTTTCCCCCATTTTTTTTGGGAACAATCGGCATACTTGAATACAATCATCTTTGACTACAAACAAATGAAATAAAACTATAGCTTTAGTGAATTCATTAAATAATGGCTTACGAATGTTAGTTTTTGTTCAGTAGATTTACTAAGAAAAAAAAAGCAAACCATTTTTCGAAAAACTAGAAGATTTGGAAGTAGAACTTAGAAGAGAAGATTATGGAGAAGAATGTGATTACAAACTATGCTCATTAACCTATATATATCACTAAAAAGTGGATTTTTACTTTTTGGAATAATCCATCAAAGTGAAACACATGGTAATATAATTATTGAGCATCCAAAATATGTCATTAAGGTCCCAAAATCATAGCATTTCTTTGACAAAAAAGTAATATACATTGATCTCTCAAAGATTGTTTGCTTTAATATAGA